AACTTTATTTGAATTGATCTGAGTAACATGTTTATTTCTCTCTATTACATTCACATGCTTTTCACATTCATGTGTCATTGGCACCACAGCATACATTTATTCATACTGTTTCTCAGGTCTTCCAGGTGATACTAGATTTTCCAGAAAACCTTCATTAAGTATGTAAAATGTTTCAAACAATCTTTCCCAAGATACCAATGACCTAACCTTTTTCCAGTTACTCCATTGGATACAAATTCCACTCTAATAAATGTGTAGTAAAAATTACAGTTTTGTGCATTTCCCTATGATCCATTAATATTTTTGTAATGCCAAGTATGAAATGCATTTTACAATCCCCTTACAACATCTGTTCTAGAAGAACTAAAAGAAAACAGATATAGTTTCTAAAGTAGTGCATTACACGTTAATGAAATTATTCAACAGTGTTTGGTCCTTAAGAATAAACTTTTAAGATCAGAATCTCTCCACCTACTCTACCAACTCCATCTCCAAACAGCAAAACTAAAACATCTTTCTGAATACCAGAACAACGAAATTAAAAAAAAGATTTTAATACCCCAGATTTCCATATAGTATAGCTTTGGGTATAGCAAGGATTACAGGATGTTACATGACCTTTGCCCTCTGCTCTATGTGGCCTAACATCAAACAGGCACCACTAGCGCATAGTTTCCGCACCTGCTGTCATAAAGGCCACATAAAGCATCTAGAGGTGAAAAGACACTAACATGATGAACCTAACACACTCTCAGAAGCAACAGACACTGGCAGTTTGTTTGTTATATTACAGATTTAACCAAGAAAAAAAAATCCAAATCTAGTGCACATGTTGTCATTTAGATATATCTGAATGATTTATCTTCCTTCTAACAATAACCAATTTGCTAATTTTTCCAAATGGGATGCTAAAGTCCAGTGCTGCCAAACGCTGAGGTGTAAATACTAGTTGGTAAGATTAATTGTGAGCGTTGACCAGCAATGAGGGGTTCACTGATGTTTACATGAAGCTGTAAATGATCAGACAAGATTGTTACAAAGCCAACGGCCCTGTTTACTTTTCCTGTCATACTCAGCTCGTGTCCCCTGCTGGTCAGGCTCAGGTTTTCTGTGACAGCTCTCATTCAGCTGCTGGGTCGGGACGTCACTGTCAGGTCTCCCTGATGTGGTTGTCCTCCTTCAGGCCCTGTCAGCGTCAGGAGGCTGGAAGAGCCTCCTCACAGTGTCAGAGGCCTGCCACACGCCCATTGCTGTCGTCAAAGAGCTGTCGTCAGTGTCAGCATCAGCGGGTGGCAGAAGAGTCTGCCCCCGGCTGTCAGCTGTACTGAACTTTTCACCGAGTGAGCTTAGCTCAAGGTCGTTTCATGATTGGTGGCTCAGTGGCTGCCTGACCAAAGTCAACCTGGGCCAGCATCTGCTGACCCACATCAACCTGTTGTTGCCCGTGGTGGTGATGGTGGTGATGGTGGGAGCCATCATGCCTGTGCCTCTCCAAGCCCTCGGGATGATGCCCTTCACGACCATGCCCATGATGACCGTGATGTTCGTGATGATGATGCTGTCCTTCCTCTACAGGTGTATTCTCATCTGTGGTTTTCTTGCAATGTTCAAGTTGCAGTGAACTCTGTAATGACCAGAGGAAAAGGGCAAATTGAAAATACTGTATGCAATCATAAAAATAAAGCTTCTAAAAAGGTTTTTTATTCTCAGTCTTGCCAAAGAAGAACCCTTTTGGGTTCCTCAAAGAACCATTCAGTGAACAGTTCTTAAAATAACATTTTATTAATCTGAAGAACCTTTTCCATGCAATGGGAACTTTTTATGCAATGGAAAGGATGTTAAAGGTTCTTCATGGAGCCACAGAATAGATCCCAATAAAGAATGAAACTTTTTTTAAACATGCTTTATTCATGCCAAACAGCTTACAGGAAATTGCATCAACAAATATAGAATACAAAATATATATTATAAAAAAACAAAAGCCAGAGAAAAACAATTATATTAGTTTAAACATTAAAAGTAATATTTGACTATTCAAGTTTTTGTTGTTGATGTTGTTTTATATGCCCATTAAATAATAACAGTAGAGGATTCTTACCTAAAATGTGCATTTATGTATAAAACGAGAATAATAAATAAATTAACAATATACTGAATACGAATAGGCTATCTGTAATAACGAACAACAGAATTAAAAGTGTTTATACATATTCTGAACTTGTTTTTCTGAAAGAAGACGATATTTTTTTAAGAGATTATGTATTTATTTGGTTGGGCGCCGGCTAGAAGGAAAAGGAGCTATTGTAACTTCCCTGCGCATTTGCTTGCACGCATTAAAATCTACAAACGGGTGAAATTAATTATTATGGGGTTTCTTTAGCCCCGCCTTCTTCTCCTTATATGGTGCAGAGGACTCGCTGAACTGCACTTACGTAAACAAACGTCAGATTCAGATGGAGGGGGGGACAAGAATTTGA